GGGAGGATAGAGGATAAGCAAGTCTAGGTCAAATCAACCCTGTTTTACAGTTAGGACAAACCATTTTCCATATAATCAACATGTCTCCATGCAAAGCCAAGCAGAATCTGACCCAAAGGTTAAGGTAACAAAGGAGACACAATATGAAGACAGAGATGGCAAGCCTTTTATCCCATTCCAGTCACCTATCAGGGCCAAGTGAAGAGTCAGTTTTAGGGCAAACGTGGCCGTTAGGTCTCTGAATAGTAACCTAGACAACTGTTATCATCATTACCCACACATCCGAGGTATTACCTACAGCCAGGAGATGAATATGTATTACCAGCTGTGAGACCTTCAATATGAGTGATTTTTAAGTCAACTAAGAGCAAGTGAAGCTAGAGGGTCTATTGCGCTTTCTCCTCAGTTACAGTTTTCTTAAAATTGGTGAAGATGCTGAGGGCCATTACCAAGTAGGAATGACGCATCGAAATTTCCTTGCCAAGCATACCCCATGCTGCTTAGAGGACATTCGATGGGACATTGCATGCATGCTTTAATAAGGTGACCTTGCTCAAGGACCAAGGTGGATCCGGGTTTAGAGCTGATCAGGTTTGAGGAAGTAACCGGATCCTTGAGTTTAAGGAGTTGCCAGTTTAAGATAATGGGTTTTAGGGAAGTTAGAGGTTGAAGATTATTGCTGGGATTAGGGTGTTCCTGCTGCTTGTTCCCATTGAGTTCTCGTGAGATTAAAATGAGATTTGGAGATAGCCTCGTGGAGTAGGTGAATTGTGCGGGCAGACGGCAGAACGGGATGGCCCCTGGACCTGTGTGGAGGCGGTGTGAGAGCGGGAATAAAGAATTGCTGTTTGAACCTACAAAGGTGTGTGGTGGCTCATGATTCTGATGCCAAGCCGAGACTTTGGCCTTGGCATGAACTTATCTGTGTTTCTAAGTAGTTCTGTTTTGTCCTACTTCACATAAAATTTAATAATTCCAGGCACTGCTAGTGACCACCAGACTTCCATATCTTCAGATAGAGGTGTTAGGCACTCTGATCCCTCAGGAAAACAAATATACACCAATTACCTGCTCTTCCTACAGATCATAACTAGAATCCAGCTTTGTAGAAATAGTTTCTTGCCTGCACATGCACACAAGAAAGTCAAGTTGAATGGGGATTTCTTTTGCTTTCCTTGTGGCTCTGGGTAACTATAGAATCAGGGATAGGATCAAAATCTGAGGTCCAAATCCACAGTTTCCCTCATAAAGCCACTAATCCAACCTCAAGGTTCTGAATGTACCCTTTCAATCAGTTTCTAAATCTCTTCCCCCACAAGTAAACAACATGTGACCCAATCAACAGCAGCGAAAATATGCAGCCAGCTGAACTGCTTTGACACTTTAGCTGCAGCTTGACCCACCTGGGCTGGTATTGAAGGCATCATTGCAGCCTGTGTACTGGCTCCATACCTAGGAGCCCAAAATGGCACTTACATAGAATCTGTGCCTATATTTATATTCTACCAGTTAGTATCCCACTCCACGATGCTCTGAACTAGGAGAGTCAGCTTTGTCTCATTGTACCCACAAAGCCTAAATCTATAAGGCCGCCTTACGGTGACCAAAGACCTTAAGTGAAAAAGGCTAAACGGAGCATTTGCCTAGGAAGAGGCCATTGCACAGAGAAGCACTCACGGCTCTCAGTGGAAATCGGTGGCCCAAGCATTGTGATTCCTGCAGTTACACCTCACTGAAGATGAAGCGCTAAAGCAACTGGGCACAAGCATCTTACTGGATGTGTCCTGAATAAGGGTATTCCTTTCCTCCATATCCAGCTGACATTCTGAAATCAATTAACATTCAAAATTAATGCCTTTCATGCATAATACACCTAGCATTAAAATAAAATTTTAAAAACCCAAGATGAAGTGTTTCTACGGGCAGTTTGGCATTTTTATACCAAAATCAGAAGGGTTTGCCATTCACCTCTCTTTTATATGCAGATAATGTGTGTGTGTGTGTGTGTGTTTACAATGCCCAGTTGATTTTATTTGCGAAAGAGTCACACTGCAATCATGCGGTGAATAAGAGTCACTGGAAAATAATTCCCTCCAGTCAAATACCCCACTCACCTGGGCTTTCATGTCAGGGTACCACATTCCTAAGAAGTAATGACAGTTACATTTATGCCCTAGAAACCTATTAATTATCAATGAATTAATGGAAATAAAGCTGTGTTTCATTCAAAGAATGTGGGCAACTAGAGTAGAAGGCTGTGAATAAGAGATTTGGATTAAAAACAGGTCAGCCTCCAGAAGCCAGATAAACCCTTTATATTATGGTAACTTGCTTTAATGAATTCAGCTTAACCTTGGTCAAACTCCCAAGATAAGATAACATGTACAAGAAAAATCAGATATAGCTTAGCCTGTGCGATGGGTGTAATCTGATAATCTAACAATTATATTAAAAAGTGAAGGAGAGAACTCAGTGTTCTCCTCTTAACATTACCTGGATGTATTCAACAGTTGTTTGACAAGCAACAGACAGATTCTGATTAAATAATCTTTTTCTAGCCAATATGATTGAGCCTCTTACTGTGCAGCTGCATCTTAGACACACATATTAATTGCTTTAAATAGGTCCCTGGGGTAGGTCCTCTTCCCCAGAAGCAGTGCCTGGGACAGACATTTTTGTGCAAGTGAGCTGTTAGTTTGTGCTCTCAGAAGAGGGGACGGAGAAGCAGGATTGGGCAGGGTACAAGCTAGGCAAAGAGGTGTTCCTGGCACCTTCCCACAGGGATCCCCGGGGCACAGACTGCACCATGGAGTCATCCCAACTTGAGGCAAGGGCCATATTTTTGTGAGCTTTATTATTATTATTATTAATAATAAATGTATTCAAATTACTCATATTTTTTTTCTAGCATAATCCATACTATCTATTATAAAAATAGTCGGGATAAATAAACACCCAAATTCCAACATAATAATGAAAGTACAATGTAAATTACAAATCAGAAAGTCAAACAAAGGATTTATAAAAGTCAATATTTTGCTTAAAAAAAAAAACACTATAAATTTGAACCTGCGACGTGTTTTCTTTTGTGAGCTTTTAGCAGCAGGAGGAGAAGGGTGCTGCAGCCAGGGGCCAGGGGAGAAATGGGACACCAGCAACATCCACTATGGCAACTACGCTAAAGGGACTAAATCTATAGCAGCCAAATAAGGCAGTAAGAGGTGTGGTTCTCACTCCGTCCCTGACCTCACCAAGAACATGATGGTATGGCCACAGGCTTCTCACAGATCTCTCTAAACATCAGTCTCCTCAGCTGTAAGATGGGAGATGGGAAAAGCAGGTAGGGTAGGGTCCATTAGATCATCCCTTCACTCCCACTTTGAAGAGCAGTGAATTCAACAAGGGAACTGGTGGGGAGGCTTACCGAGGAGTAATGATGTTCTTTCTATTCCTGGAAGGGAATTAATTGATGTAATTGTGTCCCTGAATGACTGCATCATTAAAAGCTCTTCTCTACCTGCAATAGCTTGGGGAAACTCGGGCAAATCTAAGAAGACAAGCAGTAAAGTTACCCTGAAGGCATATATACTAAAAAGGATGGCAAGGCTCTGTGACTTTTAAACCAAGCGCTTTCATGGCAGTTTACCTCAAGGGAGCATTAGTGCAACCAGACAACCTCATTTAACTGACTCCCACATCAAAGTGAATTAGAGGCAAGAGGCTGGGATGAAGTGACAGCAAGAGGCTGTCCCTGCAAAAGGGGATGTCCTCGGTGGAGAGCAGCTGGGCAAAAACTTATAGAAATTTTAAATTCATTTATTCTGTGACTACAGGGTCCTCTCTCTCTCTCTTGGAATTTATTCTATAGGAGTAAATGTGTGGAATGACATTTGTATGATTTTATTCACTGGGCCACTTTGCCAAAAGTAGTCAAAGACTGAAAACAATTCAATCGCCCATCGTTAAAGGGGCTGATTAAAAAACAATGACGACTATGGCACCAATCATAAAATAGAAAGCTGTGTAACCTAGAACGTTCTCTACTGAGAACATTCTATATTGACATGGACAGTTGTCAATAACACATTGATTTGTGAAAAAGCAAGGGGGAAGAATAGTATGTTACAGAAGTATATATCCTATTATGATATGATAGTATCATGTCATATCCAGGTGTAATTAAAATATGCTTATTTTGCAGAAGAAATGGAAGTCATCAGAATACATATATTTATATCAAGTATATCCCTGGCTATACAGAAGATGTTTTTTTGTGTACCTAGAAAGAAACTTCTGTACATAACCATCTATAAGGGGTGAGGAAGTGGGACAATAAAATAGATGAAGACATAGGTCGGAATGAGAAAACTTTCTGAATTTTTTCCCCAAACACCTCGGACTACTCTGTAAGGAAAATGGAGAATCTTGTTAGAAATAAAATGAAAAATTTAAAGCATCAGCAAAAGCTGGTCACTCTAGCTTTCCTTGTTTCATGTTCTGGCTCAGAGATTGGCAGAGTATGGTCAGTGATGAGATAGTTGTGACAAAGACCATGTGGCCCACAATACTGCAAAGCTTTACTATCTGGCCCTTTGCCAGAATTCTTGGCAACCCTCGCTTTAAACTGTAGAGTTAGTTATTCATAAAACAGCTGTGACCACATCTATCCATTGATGTGGATAAAATCTTCTGACACTGAAGGATTTTGTCTTTTTGAAGTCAGATTTCTGTCCACAGTTTATACACCAAGAAAATGAGACTGGATATTGCACTAGGTACAAAGAGAACGGGGACAAATGGTCCGGTTTTAAATCTGAACTCTGTCCCTCACCACTGTGTGACCTTCAGCAGCATAACTTCTAGCATTCTCAGATTCTTGTCTCTGCTATGTTGTACCTCGTGGAGTTGTTTGGAAGTTTACATATGTTATTGTTAATCAGGAGCTTAAATAGTAACTGTTAGTAGTATCATCTAATATTGTGATTTTTTTTTAAAAACAGGGTGATGACCAGTTAAATGTATTTGGAGAGGACACCATGGGAGGTGAGTTTTCTTTATTGATCAAACCAAAGAGGTCACTTCAATAGCTTGGAACAATTAAACATCAACTCATAGCTAGTAAAATGTCAACAGTGTGTACTTTTCCCTTGGCCAGGAAATATGGATCTTGCTTTTCGTGGCCCATGTGATAAACCAAAGGGATTCATTACTAAGAGATGCATTTCCTAAATGCCCAGAGAACATGGCTCCCAAGGTGCTCAATGAAAAGAGGATGCTTTGGTCAAAGATACTTGGGAAACACTTACCATTCAGTCTCCATTGGAAGATTCACATGTGTCATAGCATAACAAGACACCCCCAGGTCCCAGTAAAGACAGATGTCTAACTTTAATTTGGCATTCTTCAACTTATTTGGAACACAAAACTAAACTCTTTCCTAGATAGTGGTTACGATTCTGCAGTGTACCACTGGGACCCAACCCAACCTACACCAAGATTATACTGCTTTGTGATTTTTATCATGTCAAAAGTCTCATAAAACTAAAATATTCATCCCAAGTTAGCTATAAATGTAATTGAAAACAGATAAAACTATGTGGATTGGGAACTGTTAAAAAAAAAAAAAAAAGGGCGGGGCACAGTGGCACAAGCCTGTAATCCCAGCAGCTCCAGGGGCTGAAGCAGGAGGATCACAAGTTCAAAGCAATTTAGCAAGGCCTTAAGCAATTCAGTGAGACTCTGTCTCTAAATAAAATACTAAAAAGAAAAAAGGGCTGGGGATGTAGCTCAGTGTTTAAGTGTCCCTGAGTTCAATCCCCGGTACTGGGAGCAAAAAAGAAAAAAGAAAAAAAAAAAAAAAAAGGTTCATGATTGTTCTAGGTAAAATATTTCCATTTTGTAAGAAAAATTATCATTATAATTCATGGAAATATTATAGTTTTGACTGTGAACACATGCAAATAAGTGATTTGGTTTTTTAAATAACCCAGTCCTAACCCTACATTGATCCATGAACATGAGGTGGCCGATACAGTGTCATTTGATGATAATGGCAATAGCAATATGTGAAAATCACAGTTACCAAGTGATATCATTGTGATCCATGGAGAAAGGCACATAAACAGGAACCATAGCTTAGCTCTCACTTAGCTAAGTGCAAATAAGCAAGTCTGTCTCAACTGGATAGGGGTGACTGATTGCTTCATTAAGTTTCCTTTCTTCCTGGTTATAAAATTAACATACACTCACTGTGGAAAAGTTTTTTTAAGGAAGGAACTAAGAGCTATCTAAAACATTATGACCTATAAACAGTCATGGCTGTCATTCTAGTGTATTTCATTTCAGTGTATTGTCTACATAACTATTTTTGCATAGTTGAGAACACATGTATACATACAGATATCTCCAAATCTTTGTACGTATATCATAACATAATCTGTTTCCATGTCATTAAAAACACTGTAAAACTTACTTTGTAATGACTGCATTATTTGAGTTGTACCATCATTAACTAAACACTAACTTTTTAAAAACTGAAATAGGATATGATCATATTTTTAAAAACAAAAAAAGAAAAGACCCACAAGAACCATGATCATTTTCCTAGACTGCAAATAGATTCACAGTTACTCAACTTCAAGAAGTAACCTGGCAGGTGGGAAAGCATGAGATGACCACCTCATCCCACAAGTTAGGGACACCATATCTTTATATATGTGGGAGGAGGCAGAACTGTCACTCAGCTAATGGTGGAGTCCTGCAACTATGTAGCATTATGTATGTAAAAGTGCTATCTCAGTTTTGCTAAAAAATAATGTTTATAACTGTCAAAATAACGAGCTATCTTTCAAAAGTAGTTATCCTCTGCATAAAATATAAAATGTAAGCCAGAGTCCTATCAATTCATTTTAAGAATGAAAATGGCCATTTTATCACTAAGATAGAAAATAAAAACCTACAACCTCTCCAAGTACTCACACCCATCCATCATTTTAGTCAACTCATACCCTGAAGACTGGCAAAAGCGGCCACTCCCAGGACCCAGGAAAGAGCCTAGAACTCCACTTGGACCTCAGCTCAGGACTGACTCCATCAGGTCCTGCCCTTCTGTCCTGGACCCTCGCTACTTAGACAGCTTCTCCAGGAACCTCAGCCCAGGATCTGAAATGCACATCCAAGGGCTGGACCTCCAAAAACAAAACATCAAACATCTCTGAACTCTAGTTCACTTTAAAATTCCAAGCAAGTTTTCATCCTACATCATGATACATTAATGTCCACTCAGTTGTCTTGCAAATTTGAAGAGTATCTCCCTTAGCCTAAGAATTAGCAAGAATAATAAATTATTCAAAACTATCTTCAGTTACTGTATCAGCATTCACATCTGTCTGACTCAGGGAAGAATCTAGCCTCAGATGCATCTAAAAACCTGACTCCAAATATTAGCTCTTCCTAACCACAGCCCCCATTGTTAACACCCACCACTTCACTGTAGAATTTTACCTGGCTTGGATCTGCCTAAGCACATCAAGGAAATGCTTCTAGAAGTCAGTGGGATTCTTGCCACCATTTTGATTTTTACACTACCGATACATGTATTATTAATTTTTTTTGTAAACTGACTCACTGTTTTTAATTACTTATTTTAAAAGAAATTTTATATCACCACTTTAAGTGGAAAATAGCATTATTTACTGTGAAATAAAACTTGTTTTTTTAATATTGTCTTCTGATACCATATTTTAATTCTTCTCTGTTAAAAGGGAGATTATCCAATGTGAAAATAATGTGAAATAATACCAAACTGAGATACTTAGAAAGACTTAAAAGCAAGTTTTAAATTTAGCTTTGTGATTCATACTATTTAATATCATCTGTTTTACCACCTAAAAGTAATAGTGCATGTGAAAATAAAAATATATTGCCTGGATCTGGGAATAAGGCTGAAATGGTTATCAGTGCCTATTAATAGCAACCTATTAAGGCATCTACTCAGCTTTGAGCTTCTAATCAAGCAAAACTCTGTAAGGTTTGAATTTTACATGACATGAGTGAAATCAGGGTTCCAATGTAGTACTTCTTGCAATTAACTTATATTATTTTTTTTTAAGGCTTCATAGAAGATTTGAGGAAATGTAAAATTATTTTCATGATGGGTGAGTAATAACCCTCAAATTTTCTAATACAATTGCTAATAATAACAAGTTAGTAGCAAAAAAAGAAAAAAAAATGGCAATTCATTTATCACTGTTGAGAAGTTATGTTTGCTTTTTGGTCAAAATAACCCCTAGGAGGTTTTCAGACTATCGCTTGCACTTATGCAGTTTTATATTCCTTTTGGCCTTGTGTCTTTTCAGCATAGAAAAAGCAGGATTCAGAAACATCAAACCCCTGAGTTTAGCTCTACAATTACAAAGTACGTCATTACAAGGACAAGGGGATGCTGAACGTTAGTGTCTAAGACACACCTTCTCTGTTTGAACACCAACCCTCTCCTTTTTAAAATAAATGCATCAGTGACCACTCTGCAAATATACTTCCATAGCCACAGCCTGTATTCTACACAGCTAAAGACAATCTAAAGTGGAGCTAGGGTGTAGTTTAGTGGTAGTGCCTGTGCAAAACCCTGGGTTTTCAGCACCAGGAAACAAACAAAAAAAAAAAGCCAAGAAAAGCACAGATAGTGTCAGAACACCTCCCAAAACTTATGCTCTTTCTGCTAATCCTAAAAAGTATATTTTTAAAAGTACACCTGCCTGTACATTTTCAAAAAAATATCTATTTATATTCGGAAATAATGAAAAGATCCACACCTCTTCAATGAGTGGGAAGAGAGTAGCTGTCAGCACCACAGAAATGTAATCAGATAAACTTTGATTCTTACATACTAACTCCGGGACGCCTACTTGAAAATCTGAGTAAATCTGTCTCATTGTCAGACATGGAATCTGAACCAGAGAAGCTAAGAGATTTGGTCAAGGTCATTCAACCAACTGGTGGAAGGAAGGAGGGGACAGCTTTTCCAGGGTTCCCCGCTGTACCACTGGGTCATGGTGGCTGTTGTCCTGAACTACAGCTGCCTCATACATCCAACCATTTGACAAATACTTCTTGAACGCTGGACCCATCTGAGCAGTGAGCAGGATTCATGGAGTTTCCATCCCAGAGGAAGAGAATAATTAATATATCACAAACCTTGAAAAGTGTTAGGAAAGAAATGAAAAGCTAAAATTGAACAATCAGAGCAAAGCGTTTGGAGTAAAAGTGAGTGATGACTTCAAAGAGGGTGACCTGGGAAGACTTTCCTAAGGAGGCAACGTTTAAATGGAGAAGGAAGGACCAGAGGCTAGGCATGTAGCTCAGGCATAGAGTACTCGCCTAGCACGCATGACACCTGGGTTCAATCCCCAGCACCACATACACCAAAAAAGAACTTGAAGGAGAGGCTGGACCAGAGAAGGGTCCCATGGGAGGCAAGAGGGGAAATTCTAGTCCAAGAGAAGAGCACATCTCAAGCAGTGGAAATTCCTGAGACCCGCCTTAGTGCAATTTCTCATCTGCATGCCTCTAGGTGATCTAAACCTTGGAAACTGGATGGACTCTTTTCACACTTACTTTGTATTCTTTTCAGAAAGTAAAAGTATATTTCTTATTTCCCTTGCTGAGGAGGAACTCATCGTAATTTCAGTTGTGCTTATAGATTACTAAAATTTTCTTTCCACATAAATTTTATTTATCAATTTTCTTGGCTGCAGACAAATATACAATGTATTATATTTTCTGTGCCGCTTTTATGTTAGAAAAACCTAAATTAGGAAATTTAAATTTAAATTATGGAGAGACCTTTGAAACTCCATATGTAGACATTCAGAGTAGGAATCCTTTATTATCATAGAGAAATCTTTCAAGAATGTGGTCCCAAAAAGCTTCTATCAATAATACAGCCTATTGTATTGTTGTTACTGTCTCCAATAGTAATATTTCAGATTTATCCACTGTTTATCATTTATAGTTGGATTTTGAAATATATTTTCAAATGTCACTTCTATCTGTCTAGGAATAACTAAAGACCTTGGCCTACCTGTTCTGAAGCCCTGTGTCCTTTAGAAAGTCAAACAGCACAATATAAAATCTTTGACATTAGACAAAGCTTGAGACACTCAAAGATCCACAGACCACACTGAGAAGCTGTGCTCTGAGGAAGAGGTTTTTCTTGCATCTAACTGAACATTCCTGTATTTCAACTGATTGGTCAGTCACTATTATGGTAAAATGATCTGAGCCTACTATTTAGGCAGAAGATACAAAGCCTCTGTGATATGAAGGAAATGCATTCTACACTCCAAAAATCAAGGCCTTGGTTCCAAATTCTTCCTTGACAGATGGTAGAATGGTTTTGGTGGCTTCATTATCACAAGTCACTTTGAAGCTTGTAAAAACTCTCAGGATGTCATAGACACACCCATAACCATTTCAGTAAATTTTTTTCTTTTTTATTATTAATTTTTTATTTTTTTAATTAATTATACATGATGTTAGAATGAATTTATGCACCTTGATATATCATATATAGATGGGATACAGTTTCTCATTTTTCTGAGTGTACGTGTTGCAGAATCATATTGGTCATGCAGTCACATATACACATAAAGTAATAATGTCTGTTTTTTTCTGCTATCTTTCCTGTCCCCACCTCCCCCTCCTTCCCCTTGTATTACTTCCCTTCACCTAATCTAAGGTAATGCTGTATTTCCCTAGTGCCCCCCTCCTTATTGTGAATTAGCATCCACATATTAGAGAAAACACTTGGCCTCTGATTTTTTGGGATTGGCTTACTTAGTATGATATTCTCCATCTCCATCCATTTACTGACAAATGCCAGAATTTCATTCTTCTTTAAAGCTGAGTAATATTCCATTGAATATATTTATCATATTTCACTTCAGTGAATTTTAATAAACAAAAATCAGGTGATTTCCATGGAACTTATGTGGTTTTGTCTATATAAGATGGCTGAATTTTTCCTTTTTTTAAATTATTGTCTTGACATCTACAAGAAGCACAGTAGTATTAGCCAGAGCCTAGCTTGACATTCTCATTGTTATTCTTCAGATAAAATTAATATTCTTAAAGCACTCACCCCGTGTCTTAAACTATTTATTTTATTTATTAGTTTTCTTGGCATGCAGAAGACAAAAGTGCCCTTTTGTCTGCTGAAAGGTCCAAATTCCTTAGACCAACTTAAGACTCTCCTGACGGGCCTCAGTGTGTCCTTACCATTTCCCACCACATCCTCTTGTTAGTCTTGAACTCCAACCCCACCTGCATCCCTGCTGTCTCCCAAGCTTGCTTTTTTTGTCAGTCCTTGCACTTGAAATGTCTTCTCCCCTATCTCATCATGCCCCAAGTTCAGGTTTAAGTTCTAGCTCCTTGAGAAGTCTTCTCTAATCACCAGCCTCTGGGCACCTCCATCCCTTGAGTCTTTCTGGCTACTTATAATGACTATGAAAAAATATATATTTGTTGGAATAATGAAATCTTGAGGAAGCAGTGCGGTTCGTTTCCATAACAACAAAAATAGCAACTGAAAGTCCTGGACTGGAACGGACAGGCAGGTTGTGCGGCTCTGTTTCTTGCAGGACAGTTTTCAGGTTAATTGTGAGCCTACTCAGATGCTCCATGAAATGCTACCCTCTCACTGATGACAAGCAACTCTCACCCTAAGCTGGCTCATTTGCAAGGCAAAAGTTACCAAGTGGGGAGCTGATGGCAGGGGCCACCATCCAACAGGAGAAAATGTTCAGGGCAAGTGTTCCATCTGCACCACAAGGACAGGCCACATGAGCCTAGGTGGCCTCTGAGAGTTGTGTGAATGTCACCCTTTTTGTTCATGAAGAAAGCCGCTCAATAGCTGTTTAGAAAAATACCTTTCAAAGAACAGAGCGCCCAGAGGGTAATGCCAGATTGATCACAAGGGTTGAAAGAGTTCTCTGAGCTTTGGTTGCCTCCACACAAGATCCAAGAACCTGTTCTGGTGTTCAAGCTGGGCCTCAATCATTGATGAGAGTATAAAAATTATTTGGAAAATGGAGAAATACACTCTAAAGACCCTCATTGTGTCCCACTAACAGGTGACTAGTTTTCCACCACCTTTTTTGTTGCATTTCTTTCTCTCCTTCTTTCCTTCTCTCGATCATTCTTTTCCTCTTCTCCATTTTCATTGCCTGCCTATGCCCAAAATGTGATATCACCTGAATTCCCATTAATTCATAGCCAGAGCCCGGATACAAGTGCTATAATGTGGAGCACACATCTGACTAATCAGGTGAGCTGTGATGTTAATGGCATAATGATCAAGACATCATTCAATGGCCGTAGCTTCCAGTGTGTCAGGGACACAGATGGCTTTTTGTAAGCTGGCATTGGTGCTATGAAAAATTGTTTTTAAGTAGTCAGCTTTGAGAGGTATACTGATAAATATTTTATGTTACTCTGTGCATTGTTAACCACTGAACAAATGATCCTACTTATTTTCCTGAAGAAAACTGGAGAAATAAAAATTTTGACCTAAAACTCAGCATTACAATACCTGTCATTTATTTCATTATAGCCCTGTTGTCATTTCATTATTGCCCTGATGGATTAATTTTTAATTAATTTAAAAATTATGGATTAATTTTTTAAAAATATCTTTAGTTGTAGATGGACACAATACCTTCATTTTCTTTATTTATTTTTTATGTGGTGCTGAGGATTGAACCCTGTGCCTTACGCGTGCTAGGCAAGCGCTCTACCACTGATCCATAACCCCAGCCCTATTAATCATTATTTTTTTAGAAGTAGTTACTTGGGGCTCAGCATGGACACTTTTTATTTAATTGACTCACATATTTAGAAAATTAAATTCAATTTTTATTCAATGAAATTAACTTTGACTAGGTGTGTCTATAAGAGAAACCATCATTGAGTACTGAACGCAGGCCAGGCACTGTACAAATCATCTTCTGACACTGTCTTACTGTCTGCCTATATCCACCATATGGAGAAAATGCCAGTGCCTTTCTGACTTTTCAAGATTAAATCACTTGTTAATAAGTAGTATATCTGAAGCTTGAAATAGTTTAACACTGGGCTGGGAGTGTGGCTTAGTGGTAGA